CTCATCTGCTTTGTATGCTAACTATGTGTCCCCCACTGTGCCAAATTCTTAAAATTTTCTTTTAAAAATTATGTTTTACTGATAAACGTTATAACAGCTAGGTGTGTGGGGGGAAGCATTAAGGACATAGCTCATTACAAGGGCAAAGACTCCAATTCTTCCAATTCCATTGTGATGCATGAATTTTCTGCAAGGTTTTCAATGGATCTGCAAACACGTGCACACACAGACGTTTTCTATGAGGATGAGACCACTCCTCACATTTCACTTTGTCACTGAGATATCATGAACATAATAGGTTATTTGCTTCAGGTGTACAGCATAAGGATTGGGTATTTGTACACATAGTAAAATGATCACCACATTAAGTCTAGTTGACATCCACCACACACAAGTCACAGAATTTCCTTCTTGTGATGAGAACTTTTAAGATTTACTGTCTTAGCAACTTTCAAATATGCAATACAGTATTATTAACTATGCTCACCATGCTGTACATCACACGCCCAGGATTTATTTATGTTATATCTGGAAGTTTGTACCTCTTCACTCCCTTCACCCATTCCCCCACCTCTTACCCCCCAATTCTGGCAGCCACCAATACATTCTCTGTATCTTACTTTGTCTTTTAGATCCCACGTATAGAATTTTGTAACATATAAGTGAGAGCATAGATCAGTCACATCGTATGGCATTTGCCTCTCTCTGTCTGGCTTATTTCACTCAGCGCAATGCCCTCAGGTCCATGCATGTGTGCCAGGCCCCTCTCACTCACACCACACTCACCTGAGCCAGAGGGAGGTGGCTGTCCCCTCCTGGGTTCCTTTCTTCGGTAGGAATGAATTCAAATGAGTGACTCCAGGTGACTGTGTTGCGATGAAGCCAAGTTACTAATAAAATTAAAGCGAGCAAATTTATTCAGGAAGCAAGGCAAACAAATCCAGTAAACTACATCTGAGCTGGGACTCAGATGGGCTTTCCCCACGAGTTTGGAAAAGCGAGTCTGGTGGGAGTTCAAGGGGTTATATAGCCTTCTGTCTATAGAGTTTTACGTTCCTCTGCTGGATACCCTGGTACCAGTGAGCTCTCAAGGTCTCCCCTCTTACCTTGTTATGGCTTTCCCACAATTTATGAGAAGCACCTAGTACTTTTATCTTGATGAGCCCGGAGACTGCTGGCTTCACAGTTTAGGAAGAGAAATAAAACTTCCCACCGACCCGGGCCCCCAAACTGCTGACGTCTGTGTTTACTGAGACAGGCTTTTACTTCGTCCTCGTCTTTCCCTCCCCACACCTGCCTTGGCTGTTCCTGGGTGATTTGTGCTTTGTGTTCTCTGGTCAGAGAAGGGCATTGAGATTTCCACTCCCCTCCTGCATTCTTTAGTGAGGAGAGGTATTTACCCATTTGCTCTCAAGTGTCCTTGCTTTGGGGAGATGATGGCTTGTTATTATTGACAAGCTGGCTGCAAGCTCCCCAAACTATTTGGCCTTGTTTAATTTTCTTGTCTCAGTTTCCCTATTCCTCTTGCTTTGGAATTTTCCTAGCTTCTCACTATCCTGTAATACATCTACCCATGGTGCCAAAAAATATTTCCTTTGTATATCACTTTTTTTGGGGGGTAACTCCTCACCCGAGGATATTTTTCCATTGAAAAAAAATTTTTTTTTACAGCGAGTGGAAGGGATGAGAAGAGACACAGAGAGAAACATCGATGTGAGAAAAACACATTGATTGGTTGCTTCCTGCACAGGCACCCAGGGTCAGGGATCGAGCCTGCAACTGAAGTAACTGAGGTATATGAGCCCTTAATTGGAATCGAACTTGGGACCCTTCAGTCCATGGCTGAAACTCTATCCTCTGAGCCACACTGGCTAGGGCTTTCATATATCACTTTTTCATATATCACTACTCTTCCAGCCTGGGTCTGATGGAATGCTTGCAATGTTGAGGATTCACCAGGCCCATTTTGCAGATATGAAGACTGAGGCTCAGAGGGGAGACTGGCTGTGCCTGAAGCTGGTCACTCATGCAAGGCCTGCCACCACTGATCGGACACACACTTGCCCACTGTCTGGCTCTGGGAGACAGACCAGCCTCCCCCTTTCCCTGTGTGGCTCCCCTGCCTCCATAGTGGCTGAGGGACATTTCAGAAGCCAGGAGGCTTGTGTTATTTGGAAGCTGAGACCTTCACCACTGGGGATGCTCCAGCCTCGTCAGGCTCAGAGTAAAGTCCCACCTGAGGCATCCTTTCCCCTTCTATCACCCGATCCAGGAATCGAGGGAGCCCCAGACCTATAGACGCTGCCCTCATGACGGCTGCGGAGCCCTGCTGGGGTTTGAGTTCTTGGTCATGGCTCCTGAAAGTTCAACACCCACTTACAGCTTCAATATGGGCCCAGATTCTGTGGCCCTCCTTGGCCTTTCTGAGGGCCCATTGCGTGGTTTCATAGGTTAGTGCTCTCGGCCCCAGTGTCAAAGGGACAGGAACCAATTGCCTTTATGTGGAGCCCGGGTGTCCCATTCCAGGCCTGCCCCTGGAGGCCCTCCCTCATCAATCAGGTCTCTGCTCACCCTGACCCCTGGCCTGAGGTGGAACCCCTCCTCCAGGCACATCGCTGACCCCTGTCTGATATGTCCTGATCATCTGTTTGATCATCGCCCATCTCTCCATGAGATGTGAGGCCCTTGACACCAGGGACGATGTCTGCCGTGCTCACTGCTGTATCCCTTTTGCCTAGAATAGTGCCCAGCACATAAAAGGTGTTCAATAAGCAGGTGCTTGCATAGAAAGCCTCAGGGGTGTAGATTTCCCCCCTAATTTATAACTGAAAAAACCCCTGTTAATCAGAGAGGTAAAGGCACTCCTTCCCCGTATCCCTTGTAGAACCCAGACTTGGGGGCCTTAACGCCACATGTCTTAAAACTTGGAGTGTACACCACGCCCCAATGGGGAGTCAGTTCTCAGGCAGTATTGCTGGGCCAGAACGCTAGCCTCTGCATTCCCTGTGAGCTCTCAGGCGATACGGGTGGCAGAGGCCTTAGGGCCACACTTTGAGTAGCCAAGTCTTAGAGTTCGTGGTTGCAAAGCTCACTTTCTTCCCTGGATGTTTAATGAGCACCTATTATGTACCAAGCTTTGCTGTCATATTGACCTCATTTGCTGTAAGGCTGGAGCAAGAGCTTCACCTCTCTGAGTCTTTGGTTCCTTTTCTGTAAAAATGGGCGCATGAGGGTAATACCGCAGGGCTGTTGGTTGCACAAGTACAGTAACAACAACAGAAATAACAATGACTAGCATCTGTGAGCCCTTCCTCTTTTCTATGTGTCTTCCATACACAGTCTCTTTTCATTATTCCCACCACCTTGGGGGGGCAATAATGAAATGCCCACTTACAGGCATGAGGGGCGCAGCTTACTGTATCTGGGTACCCGCCAATGTAAAGCCTGGCGCACAGTCTGGCCCCAACAGCTGTGTGACTGTGGGCAAGGCACTCAAATGGAATTCAGTCTCAGTTTCCTCCTCCATAAAACGAGAAAACAAAAGGCTAATATACCTCAAGGGCTTAAAACACTTCAGTGGCTTATGTTCTCAAATCCCGGAGGTGCATTCCATCCCTGCTCTGGGCCTCTCTGCCTGACCCCCAGGGCTCTGGCCCAGACAGCTGAGGGGAGGTGGGTGGCTCACCTTGCAGGCAGGACATTGACACATAATAGGTTTACTTTATGTGGTGCACCTGATGCACAGAAGGAGCATTTTATATGAGTAGCCAGCACATAGTAGGCATGCTTTATATAGTATGTTGAGTACTCAGTAGGCACTTTTTATGTAGAATGTCTGGCACACAGCAGGCATGCTTTACGTGGAGTACCCTGCATGCAGTAGGTGTGCTTTATCTGGAGCTCCTGGCGCTTAGTAGGCACACTTTATGTAGAGTACCTGGCACTGAGTAGGAACGCTCTTTGAGGTGTCCAGCACACAGTAGGCATGCTTTATGGAGAATGCCCAACACACAGTAGGCACACTGTACATACAGTCTTTCGAGCAGAGTGGGTTTAGTGTCCGTGGTCGACTGGTACACAGCAGCACAAGTACCAGCTGTCAGCTCGTTCCCGTCACTCCAAGTCTTTTGCGGCTCCTGATCCTTCCCTCCTTCCTGTGTAGCCCTCCTCTGTCTCCCCGTCAAGACCTCCGTCACCATCCCACGTGGAAGGCTGATCCCAGAGGGGCCGGCTCAGCCATCATTCAGAGCGAGGGCAGGGTTGCACTCATTCGGCGTCCCCCAGTCTGCCCTGCCCTGTCAGGACCCCTCAGACTTGCCCTCTCGCCTCCTGGTGCCCTCTCCCCTCTGGGTCCTTCCTGCCCTGAATCTGATGGGAAGTTCCCAGCCAGGCTGTTTGCTGGTTTCTTTTCACAGCAGGCGGGTCTCAGTCCAGGCCCGGGCTGCTTGGAGGCAGGACTGTAACTCCTGTCAGGCTGTGCGCCCGGAGGCAGAGGCTTTTGCCTCTGAGTTTCATGACTCTGAGCCAATAAACTGTGCACGACAAGCTCTGGGCCGAGAACCTGCGCAGGACAAGCTTGGAGTGAGCAGCTTGGCAGAGGTTTGGGACAAGGCTCACCTGGCAAATCAACAGTCAAGTTCAAGCTTTTAGCCGCCACAGCCTGGTCTTGGGAGGGTAGGGGAGGCAGTAAACTTGGGGGCCCAGAGTTATCTTTGCCTATCCCCAACCTACCCTTGACCCCCCAGGGGGTGCTGAGTCCTGAGGATCCAGTGTCCACACTGTGTGACCCTGAGCTAGTTCTAGGCCTATAGTGACAACACCCTCTTTCTGGGCCAGTGCCAATTGGGGTGGAGGCAAGCAGGTGTTTGGGGATTGGTTGGTTTAGCCCAGCCTCTCCCGGCCTGGCCTCCTCTAGGTCAGAAACCAGGGGCAAAGGCTTCCCAGGAGGAGGGGAGAGGAGGTTGTGTGGAACTAGCTGCTCCAGACAGAAGGTGCCAGTCTCGGGGTGAGGGAGCTGAGGGTCCGGGTCCAGGGGGGGAGAGGTGTTGCTCAAGGCTGCGGTGGCTCCAGCGAGTGGAGCTGGCCTGGGAGTTGGGTGGATAGCAGTGGGTAATGTCACTGTGTCTCTCCCTCTCCCTCTGGCTCTTCCTCTGTATTTCCCCGGATGTCCCTTCCCTCCTGAGCCCCCATTCACCCATCCCTGAGCCCTCCCTGTCCTGTCCCACCTGGCCCTCCCTGACCCTATTCCACACACCCTATCCCTCCGCCAGCTGGTCTCTGCCTCTGAGCTCCCCTTACCGCCCTGTCCTAGGCCCCAGGAGCTCACCCTCTGCCTGCCCTGCAGGATGCTGCAGCTGAGCCTGTCCTGGCTGGGACTGGGGCCGCTGGCAGCCTCCCCGTGGCCACTCCTGCTGCTGCTGCTAGCCTCCTGGTTCCTGGCCCGCATCCTGGCCTGGATCTATACCATCTATGACAACTCTCGCCGCCTCCGATGTTTCCCGCAGCCCCCAAAGCGGAGCTGGTTTTGGGGTCACCTGGGCTTGGTGAGTGTGGGCCGCAAAGTGAGTCTTGGGTATTAGGGTGGATGGACTCCCCCAGGGGTTGGCAATGGGGCTTACGGTTTGGGCTAGTGTCTAGGACAGCAGAGATGTGAAGTGAGGGGAGGTCAAGGGGAACCCCTCTTTTCTCACTCATTCCTCCACCCTGCCATCCCAGGCCTTCCCCACATCCTTGTCCTCTCTCCAGCCTGCTCTGGGTGCAAGTCCGTCTGCCTTCCCCACATTAGTGCGCCTCTGAGGGGCTCCCAGGGTGGGTTGGGCAGAGCTGGGTCCCCTAGGACTCCCGGTGTCCACAGCTAGCCTTCAGGCCATCTCAGGGGCACTGTCCAGGGTTTGCTCTCTGTCCGGCTCATTTCCATGTGTCTGCTCACCCCCACGCACAGGGGCACAGCTCCCTGTCCCCTCATCTTCCTGGCATACCGTCCTCTCACCTCACTCTTCTCTCCTAAGATGTCTCGCGGAGCCTGTGGCACAACCTGGCTACAGCTGGCCACTCAGTTCTCTTTTTGGAGGCCTTCTTCAACTCCTGCCACACCCCAGACTTTGACCTTCGACTTGGTCCTGCTTCTTTTGAATTATACAGTTAATTGTCTAATTGCTTATTATCTGGGTCTCCAACTTCATGGTAGCTCTGGGGAGCAGACACTCTATCTGCAGCTCACAGCCCCGGGGCTGGCATACATCAGGCACTTAATCATGTTTGAGTCCCTAAGTGGTGAATTTGCCATCACCTCCCTCAGTCAAGGCCAGCTCCTCCCTTCCCCGGACCAGCCGAGGGATGAGTACAGCTTTCCTTTCAGCCTGGAATGAGAACTACAGCGTGGGGAAGGACAGCCTGTGATTTCTCTGCTCACTATGGCCGAGTTCACAAGAGGACGTTCCCAAGCGCAGCATGAAGGCTGCCTGAGGTTCTGGGTCTTGGAACGGAAGTTCCTGCCGTCCCAGGTCCCCCTCTGACGCTCAGCCATGGGTGCTGGCCTTGTCACCTTCTCTCCTCCAGCCCCTTTTGCTGTGCGACCTCAGCTGAGTCACTCTCCCTTATGGACCAACCTCATCACGAATCCTGCCCTCTGGGTCCTTGGCATCAGGGGCCAGGCCACTAGTGTGAAAGCGACGTACGTTCACCTGCCTGGGGCACCTGGGGTATTTGTCAGGCTTGGATGGGGCATCCTGAGGGACGGAAGAGGAGGCCTCACCAGGAGGTGACCTGCCCTCCTTCCCCTTTGGGGGGATGTGTCGCTCGTTTCTTCCTTTGTGAATAGCGTGATTGGTGGGCATGTCCATAGGTTGAAGAGAGAGAGATAGACAGGATGAACTATGATAGGTAGGTAGATAATAGATGATAGACAGACAGGCAGAATCCACTATTAGATAGGTAGATATTTAGACGCACAGACTGACAGACTTGATGCACTATGTTAGATTAAAGATAGATAGATGATAGATAGATAGATGATAGATAAATAGACAAATAGATGATAGATAGATGATAGATAGATAGATAGATAGATGATAGATAAATAGACAAATAGATGATAGATAGATGATAGATAGATAGATAGATAGATAGATAGATAAATAGATGATAGATAGATAGATGATAGATAGGCAGGACGCACTATACACAGAGCCTGGCCAGCAGAAGGGGCTCATAGGTGGGAAACACCCTCCTGATTGATGAGCAGAGTTCATATCTGTCCCTCAGAATCTGGTGGCAGAGAACATGTCCCCTCCCTGTGCCTGAGGGGTACCCTGCCGGCCTGGGGAGGCCTCCGGAACCCACGTTCTTGGGGGAAGGTGTGGGAGGAAGCAGAGTGTCTCCATCCAGGCAAAATCAGGACACACTCTCCATTGCAGAGGCTGCAGGAGGGTCCTGCTGTGGCTCCTTTGGGGTGTGACAACCCTGCCTTGCTTTCAGGTCACCCCCACAGAGCAGGGCATGAGGGACGTAACTCAGCTGGTGGCCACCTACCCCCAGGGATTTAGGACGTGGCTGGGTCCCATCCACCCCCTCGTCACTCTGTGCCACCCTGACATGGTCCGGGCTCTCACCAACGCCTCAGGTACCCACACAGAGCTTGTGGTGGTGGGTGCCCTGGCACATCTGGGGCGTCTTGCCCCTCCTTGCCAAGCTTCTGTGCGGCCCCTGCAGGACCTGGCCCTCTTCCCCTCTTCTCTCTTCGCATCTTCCTCTTTTTTTTTTTTCATGTATTCAAATATGCATCTCACCACCACCTCCCTCTAATGCATCGGTTCTCAACCTGTGGGTTGCGACCCCTTTGGCGGTCGAACGACCCTTTCACAGGGGTCGCCTAAGACCATCCTTCATATCAGATATTTACATTACGATTCATAACAGTAGCAATGTTACAGTTATGAAGTAGCCACGAAAATAATTTTAGGGTTGGGTCACAACATGAGGAACTGTATTTAAAGGGCCAGAAGGTTGAGAACCACTGCATGCCGTCTGTTTCTGACCTGGTGTCCTGGGCAGCCACCACTGTGGCCCCAAGAAGCTTTGATCCAAGGCTCTGTCTGGAGGAGGAGCTCCCAGTCTTGAGGAGACAAATCAGGAAGGAGGGATGCTAGACCTGGTGTGTGGGAATTGGCCAGAGGCAGGCTGTGGCAGCCCAGAGAGAAGCAGGGTCTCTCCTGGAGGAGGCTGGGAGGCCTGCTGGAGGAGGAGTTGCTGGAAACGGGTCTGGAACAATGAGGAGAAAGTGTTTAAAGCAGAGGGTAGAGTAATGCAGGGGGCGTTGCCAGCATCCCAGGCTCGCAGCCCAGACCTGCCCCTGCTCCCCTCCCTCAAGGCCTAGAGCAAGGAGGGCTTGCTATTTCTGTGATGTCCCCCTCTGGTAGGTCGGCTCCTTCTACCCCATCCTGCAGCTCATCCAGGAGTCTCTCCAAAGAGGGCCCGCCCTGCCTGGGCCTTGTCCTTTGCTTTCTGCTTTTCTCACCCCCAGACAGATGAGGCCAAGCCGGGTAAAAGGCAGCATTTGACAGAGAGCTTGGCTCTGACACCAACATTCTGGTGACTCTGGTTCTCATCGACTGCTGAGGTCTCTTGCAGTTCTGAGTGGTGGAAACTCACCCATGTGTGGTCCAAGCAAAGAAAGGGACTCCATGGGCTGTCCAGTCCACGAAGGTTGCCTTCAGGCACAGCTGGATCCAGGTGTCAAAGAATGTCCTCAGGAGCCTGTCTTCATTTTTGAGTTCTGTTTTCCTCTGTGACCCCTTCACTCTCATGCTGGTAAAGATGAATCCCAGAAGCTCAAGCCCCGTGGAAAAGTGAGCTGATTCCCACCAGTTCCAGGAAAAGAGGCCCGATTCACTTTAATCTGCCTGGCGTGGCCCAGCTCCTCATCCAGTCACTGCCACCCTCATTGCCCAGTCTCGGCAGGCATAGGGTTCTCGGAGTTATTATTGTTTTTGGACTTCAAAGAAGTTCACTAGTTCAGAACTCAGGTCCTGGATTCAGACAGACCTGGGCTCAGGTCTCAGGCATCCCACCTACTGTCTGGGAGACCACGGATAAGTGACTTTGCTGTTCAGAGCCTCAGTTTCCTTATCTAGCAAATGGGGACAGAAGAGAAGTCGGGTGAATGTGGTGCTTGGGATCCAAATGAGAAAAGACCCTGACTGTTGAGTATTGAGGGTAAGGGGAGGGAGCCCAGGGGGAGGATGACCTGCTGGATAAGGCTCTTCTCTTGGCCACCTTTCTAGTGTGAGTTGGGTCCTCTTTGTTTCTCTCCAGATCCGGAGCTCAGAGAAAGGCCTCCTGTACGAACAGGGCCTGGCGAGCACCTATGGGGATGTGTGCTGCTGGTGGGTGGGACCCTCGTATGCGGTCATTCGCATCTTCCATCCCGCCTACATCAAACCTGTGCTCTTTGCTCCAGGTAGACACCCCTCCGACCACAGCTTGCTCATCGCTGAGGTCTCTGTGCTGCCTCCAGCTGGGCAGGTGACCCAGGTGCAGACAGGAGGGGCTGTGGCGGAGACGCCACTGCCTCTGTCTCACTTGGGCCCCCACCTGCCCCACCTCATGTCTGCTCACACCTCGGCTGTGCCTGGGTGACATCTTCTGAAAGGCCATCCCTGGTCACATGTGTGTTTCCACTTGTGTCCTAGTTATTGCTGATACATGTTTATACCTCGGCTCAAATGGAGTTGGCCTCAGACATGTCTGGAGCTCAGCTTGGCCAGTGTCGTTGAGGCATGCTGGGGACTGTCTGGTGGTGCCTGTCTGAGGTGCCATTTGAGATGGTCTGGTTTTGCTGCCGATCGTGTCTGGGCCATGTTCTGCATCTGTCTGGTGTCTGAGACCCAGGGTCCCTCTAAGAAATGTCTGAGACCTTATGTGAGTCCTGTTAAGGCAGGTCCTAGGGTCCGCCTGGGTCACACTTGGCTCACATCTGTGACATTAGTGGGACCATATGTAAATACTGTCTGGGGCTGTCTGTGGGACACACTGAAGCCATGTCAGATTGTCTTTGCTTCCATGTCAGAATATGTTGCCCTGGGCCAGGGTGTGTCATGCATGTTTGAGCCATGTCGGGACATGTTAAAACATGTTGGGGCCATGTCAGATGTCCCAGCAGATATCAGAGAGTGCTGGGGAAGAAGGGGTGTCTGAGGTCCATGTAAAGGCATTTTATAGAGTGTTGTGCTGTGCTCGGGTGTGTAGAGCATGTTGGACCATGTAGGAGCCACCTCAAGGCATGCTAAAGCATGTTGTGCCATGTTGAGATGTGTCTAAGCATGTAGGAGTGTGTCTTTGCGCTCTGCCTTTGCTCTGCTCTGTGTTGCCGCCTGGCCTGGTCCCCCCTCACCTCCCCACTCCTTGCCATTTCCTCTGCCCTTGTCCGATTTCTGCTCTGCTGGGTTTGGAGGGGGAATGCAGACCCCTGGCTGGGAGACTCCCTCCCCCGACATAAGAAGTCCCTCTTCTCCCCCCTCCACGGTCCTGATGGTCCTCATTCATGTCAGCTGCCGTGGCCCCCAAGGACATGGTCTTCTACAGCTTTCTGAAGCCCTGGCTGGGTGAGTCACTGAGGGAGAAGCAGGGTGGGGACACCCTTGGGGGACCAGGAGAAGGTCCTACCTTGCCCACTCCCCGTGGCTGCCTCTACTAGGGGATGGGCTTCTGCTGAGTTCTGGTGACAAGTGGAGCCACCACCGCCGCCTGCTGACTCCCGCCTTCCACTTCAACATCCTGAAGCCCTACATGAAGATTTTCAACGACAGCGTGAATATCATGCACGTGAGTCTCTTGAACTCAGTGAGGGGCTCAGTGGAGCCTTGGGGGTACTGGGGGCTCAGCGGCATCTTGACTGGAATGCTGACTCTTCTGGGTAGATTTTGGGCCATGGCTCTCCCTTTCGGAGCCTCAGTTTCCTCAGCTGTGAAATTGGAATAATTTCATAGTGTGGGAAGATGACATAGTGGAGCCAGGTCCCTGACACATAGTAGGTGTTCAGAGCCATTGGTTCCTATGCTTCCCCCACAGAGGCCTTGGTGTTCTGAGACATGATTGGGGGGTGATGATGACTATTGCGCACTAATTATGGTTGAGTAACAAACCACTTCAAAACAAAAGGGTTACTATTGGCAGCAAGTCTGTGAGTCCATTGGAGGGGGGTCTTCTGGATGTGGCTGCGGTTACTCATGTACCTGTGATCAGCTGTGGGGCAGCTCTGCTGTTCTGGGCTCCTGAGATTGAGCCTCCACTGGCTGCATGCTGACCTAGGAAGCTCCCAGCTGGGACAACTAGACTTCGTTTCATGGGGTTCTCTCTTGCTCCTTCCTGGGCACCTCGGGCTGTTCACATGGCAGAGGCAGGGTTCCAAGAGATTGAGAGGAGGCTGAGATCCCTCTTGAGATCCTGGATTAGGATCAACACCTCCTCATTCTCACCACAGTCCTTTGGCCAACGCAAGTCAAAAGGCCAGCATAGAATTACACGGCGCTGCAATAGGTTCCAACTCCTAATGGTGGTTGTTGAAAATTCCCATTGTGAAGAGTGTGAACCTTGGACCCAGGTCTCCTGCCTCCCAGCCAGGGGCTCTTCCTGTCCTAAGAGGAATAGCTTATACTCCCACTCAAGCCTGGTCCTCCCTGAGATGGGTGCCTGGGGCAGAGGACCAAGAGGCAGGGTCCGGGGACTCCATCAGGTGGTTGGGGTTGGGGAAGGGCTCAGGGAAGCCTCAGCTCTATGCCCTTCTCTGTCCAGGCCAAGTGGAAGCGCCTGGCCTCAGGGGGCAGCACCTGTCTGGACATGTTTGAGCACATCAGCCTCATGACCCTGGACAGTCTGCAGAAATGTGTCTTCAGTTTTGACAGCAACTGCCAAGAGTGAGTCTCTTCCCAGAGCCTGGGAGCATGAACCATAGGCCCAAGAGAGTAGATGGAGTGGATACTGACCAGGGCAATCATAAGGGTCTTCCTGGAGGAGGTGGGTCAGGGCTGGACATTGAAGGACAAGGAAGGGGAATGAGCAAGAGTGATCCCTTCAGCTAGGTAGAACCGTCTGCTAAAGGCCAGGAGGCTGGAATGAGCAGTGTGTGTGAAACAGTGAGGAGAAGTGAAGTGAGAGGGCTTAGCAGGGGTGAGATCTTTGGGCCGTTAATAAGCCACGCAGTGGGGTATGATCTTTATCCTGAGGCGTCCAGGGAGCCAGGGAAGGTGTTTGAGCAGCTGAGTGTTGTGACCCAAACTAAGCTTGGACATCTCACTCTAGAGAAGACCAGTGGATGGTGTTGACTTGGATGCAAGGAGACTGGAGAGGGCTGGGCCCATTGGCCAATGAGGAGAGGATGAAGTCTGAGCTGTGTGGAAATCTAGGGAAGGGGAAGGGCAGATACTGGGGAGGAGAGAGGGGAGAGAAGCATGATGTCTAAGCTGTGCTCTGGGTGCCTGGGGCATGGAGGCCGCTCAGGGAGGGTCATGTTTCTGGATCATCCCCACCACGTATCTGCAGGGCCATCTGTTCCTGGCTTCTCAGTTCCCTAATGGGAGGAAGCTCCTGGCTTCTGGTTGGAGGACCACCTCAGGCTTTAAGTGAACTAAGTTGTTGCTTCCCGCCCTGCCCTCATCCTGCAGAAGGCCCAGTGAATATATTGCCGCCATCTTGGAGCTCAGTGCCCTGGTGACAAAACGGCACCATCAGCTCTTCCTATACATAGACTTCCTGTACTACCTCTCCTCTGATGGACAGCGCTTCCGCCGGGCCTGCCGCCTGGTGCATGACTTCACAGACGCCGTCATCCAGGAGCGGCGCCGCACCCTCCCTGACCAGGGTGTTGAGGACTTCCTGAAGGCCAAGGCTGAGACCAAGACTTTGGACTTCATTGATGTGCTCCTGCTGACCAAG